CGCTTGGTAGCGACACTGTTTGCTAGGAGAGCCTGTTTAGATTCCCTCAGCAGATGATAACTTTTGCAGAAACCAGGAGTCCTGACTTAGTGGTTTAGAATGGCGCCTGCTCTTCTTGGGGTCCCCAGTGAGGCTTTAGCTGCTTCTCCACATACTTGTATCCAGCAGAGGCTTTGACTGATCTTGTAATTTGGCCAGCATCTGTGGAAGTTCTGTTTTTCCCCTCTGGGTTCTGCCATCTGCCCCTCTGTCCAAATCCCAGAGCTGGCCCGTCCCAGACTCTTCTTCCACCTGAGGTTGGTGTGTGCAGGCCCGAGTGTGGGTGACAGTGAGTTACATCCTGCCTTACTCCTCTCCACCTCTCCTCCCTGCAGGCATCGACGTTGAACAGGTGTCTGTCGTCATCAACTTTGACCTCCCCGTGGACAAGGATGGGAACCCGGACAATGAGACCTACCTGCACCGGATCGGGCGCACCGGCCGCTTTGGCAAGAGGGGCCTGGCAGTGAACATGGTGGACAGCAAGCACAGCATGAACATCCTGAACAGAATCCAGGAGCACTTCAGTGAGTCCTCTGGAGGATCCCTGCCCCGCCCTTGCCTTACAGGGGCAAGTCAGGGGGAAGGGGAGGTTTTCCTGTGTCCCTGAGAGAGGCCTTTGTTTCCGTCCCATTTTCCTCCTTCCCTACAACGCGGAAGTTCTCAAAGAGCACACCTGGAGAGTTTGGGGCTCGGGGACTTGAATGACAGTCCCCCTTGGCCAGGCTGCAGGGCCCAGTGCTCTGACTGTTGTCAGTGTCCCTCGCTCAGTCACCGGAAGCCTCTGGGGTTCCGTGAAGGATCCCTGTGGCCAGAGGCACAGAAGTTCCTAGGGGGCGGAGACCTGAGTTTCCTCTCTCCCTGCTGTGTGGCCCCTTCCCTGGTGGTTGTCTCTGTGTAACCCCATGTTGATCTCTCTTTGAATTCCATTTCTCCCCCAGATAAAAAAATAGAAAGACTGGATACGGATGATTTGGACGAGATTGAGAAAATAGCCAACTGAGAAGCTGCAGCAGTCAGTGGTGCCCGCCCTTGGCGCTCCCCCTGCGTGGACACTAGTGCTTTCACGG